TCTGTGCTCAGAGCGAATGACTTTTAAATTGGAAAGTTGATCGGCTTGACGAGACAATATACGTGGTAAGTTTTGTAACTGTAGGTAAATTGAGCAAAGTTATAACACACTTATGTGTCCTTTTTTAGTCATAAAATTCATTTCCTCGCCACGGCCAGACCGTTCGAGATATAAAAATCCGTCCGGAATTGAGCATCCTCAATGTCTTGACTCATGCACACCGAGTTTGGTTGTGATTGGTAAACACATGCATTGTGATTTGATGTATTTCTCCTAGGACAATTATTCAAACAACCATAATTCATAATTCATAAATAACTTCCATTTGAACTGTCAATAAACTTAGAGCACGAAAGTTGTTTGGCCTGATGTGATCTATAATTGTACCGAGTTTCATATTAATTCATGCAAAGTGTGTTTGATTTATGGTCAAATGTTCAAATCCCAGTCCAGGGGGCGCTGTCGAGCCGCCCTGCCACGCCCAGTTACCAGCTTCAGCCCGGCCCTGATGGCCATGGGTTCTGACCCGTGTGCAAAGTTTCAAGAGTTTTCGAGGATGTTAAGGCCCCCGAAAATGCCAGAGAAGTCGCACACAGCAAATAAAGGGTTAAAATTAACCTGACAAGGCGCCCCTCCTCTCACTCACACAGAGGGACACTGAGACACTGGCAAAATTCTGAGATTTTCTCTACATTCAACAAACATATCTGACTTTCTGTGGGTCCTAGCTAATGAGTGTCAATTAGAAAGTTGTCCGGCTCGAGGAGTACAATATACATACCGATTTTTGTAACTGTAGATAAAACTAACAACCCCACTTTTGTCAAAAGGTGGCGCTACTGAGCCCTCACCACGCCCGTTTCTGCAACTTGCACATGTCTACTGGCTAATAAATGTGATGTGCTGTCGAGTTTCATGCAATTTAAAGCATGCTAAGGTCTCAAAAGCATCCTAAAAGAATGGTAAAGTTGAATTGCGTCGCCACGGCAACAGTTTTCAAAGATATCAAGAATCCATTCACAGGTCTACATCTGCCCTATGTTTACATTATACAGATGAAGTTTGAAGCAATCGGGTAAAAATAAAAGGGTGATTTCAAAGCATTTTGAAAGTGACACACTTTCCTGCTGCCAGTTT